CCTCCGGGGCCACGCACAGCGGCTCTGCAGGAGACCGGGATGAAGTCACCAACCCAACCACAACCAAGCCTTGGGACCCAGGAATCCACGGACGGAGCCACCCACCCAACCCAACCCAACCCAGCCCAGCCCAACCACAACCAAGCCTTGGCACCCAGGACACCAGGGATTGAGCAACCAACCCAACCCAACCCAACCCAACCACAACCAAGCCCTGGGACCCAGAAGACCAGGGATGGAACAACCAACCCAACCCAACCCAACCCCAACCAACTCTTGGAACCCAGAAGACCAGGGATGGAACAACCAACCCAACTACAACCAAGCCTTGGAACCCAGAAGACCAGGGACGGAGCAACCAATCCAACCCAACGCAACGACAACCAAGCCTTGGGACCCAGGAGTCCACGGACAGAGCCACCAACCCAACTCAACCCAATCCAACCCAACCCCAACCGATCCCTGGGACCCAGGAGTCCATGGATGGAGCCACCAACTCAACCCAACCCCAACCACAACCAACCCTTGGAACCCAGAAGACCAGGGATGGAGCAACCAACCCAACCCAACCCAAACAAAACCAACCCTTGTGACCCAGGAGTCTGCAGACAGAGCCACCAACTCAACTCAACCCAGCAACAACCAACTCTTGGGACCCAGGAATCCATGGATGGAGCCACCAACCCAACTCAACCCAACCCAACGACAACCAACTTTTGGGACCCAGGAGTCTGCGGATGGAGCCACCAACCGAACTCAACCCAACCCAATCAACCCTTCGGACCCAGAAGACCAGGGATGGAGCAACCAACCCAACCCAATCCCAAACAACATCTGACAACCAAGAATTCGGCAAGGAGCCACCAACCCGACCCTTTAACCCACCAGGAACGTGGGGATGGAGCCCCAACCCCACCCACACCCCCCAGGGGACCCGGGCATCCCTCACCTTTACTCTTGTTCCTCATCGCCGACTTGAGCAGAGCAGCCTTAAGTGCAGCTTTGGTGTCATCAGAAATGGCGCCATCCCGCTTGGGCGCCACGGGGGCCCCTGGCTCCGCCTTCACCCGGGGAGAGTCCATTGGGCAGTCAGTGGCGGGGGCGGGGCCGGGGCTC